CGCTCGGAAATGCAGAAATTTGAACAGTTTTTACATACTTTGTGCCCAGAAAAGAAAATACTTATATTTATTTTGTTTAAACGTTATTTTTATGGATACTCATATTCGAGTAAAAGCTCTGTTTTTTAATCAAACAATAGTTTTTGTTCAACTACATCTTCCGGCCTGATTATTCGAGAAATCTTGTCAGAAAAATATGAGTCCTCCGTTAAGATTTCTCGAATATTCACACAAGTTGATATAGTCGAATAAAAAATATACTGTTTAATTAAAAAAAAAACAACAACAACAACAACAAAAAACGAAGCTTCTACTCGAATATGAGTATCCATAAAAAATAACGTTTAAACGAAATAAATTAAAAATAAAATTATATCGGATTTAATCCATTTCCAATATATATATATATATATATATATAATTATTTATTCAAAAAATTATAACATAAATATGTTATGAAATCACTTCAAGAATAGCCATTTTGTTTCAATACTTCTGGTGTCTTATCATGCGATGGCGTTAAATGTATAATAAAGTGTTTTAAAAGGTTCAAATCAATCAAACATCCCACGACAGGGGAAACGCTGTTACTTAAGATGCAATGACCAATCAAATACAAGTATATGACAATTCAAAAAACTTGACAACGAACTTTGGTTATAATAATTATTTAATGCTTTAATGTTAATAGAATTCATTGTAACTAATAAATATTAAATTATACTATAAAATTAAAAATTAAAAATTAATTTTAATTTTAAATTTAATCTATATTAAGTTTAATATATATATATGTATATATTACTTATTTTTAGTGGATACCCGTGTTTGAGTTTTAAAAATAATATTTGTTGGTTATTGGAATTTATTCCATATATATCAATCCTATACTTATATATATATATATATATATATATATATATATATATATATATATATATATATATATATATATATATAGGAAGAGAATCAGGAGCTGAGAAATACAAAAAATGCTTGTCAGAATGTTGCATAGAAAAAGTCAAAGATGCGGGAACGCTCTGCTTCAAATTTAAAATTTGGCGACTGATTGTATCTATTCTAATGTCATTCACTTCTTTATTGGATATACTTTATTTTTTTATTTTATCGCTATTTGATTTCATAATCCTACATTTTGTATATTGGTAGTAATCTTGTGAGGAAAAGAGATATGTTGTATGGTGTTGGATACAAATTTACCCTAGACATTTCCGAAATTAGTACTCCTCCAATACAGTTTGGTGTTTATTAGTAATATTCCACTTCGTCATTCGTTTAAGGGCATTTATTTTGGGTATATATTGTTTATATCATATTTTGAACACACACACACACACACACACACACACACACATATATATATATATATATATATATATATATATTGTTTTGAATTTTCTATATTTATGAAGAAGAAATATCAGGATACAGCTTTTGTTTAACATGTAGCAGACGTTATACTTTCTCGCCAGACACGCATGCGTTAAAACCCCTATCAGCACCGGCGACCCTTTTTTAAGTTGTGGACATGCGTAAAAAAAACTTGGAGCATGCGTAAAACGAATCCCTAAAGGCTAGCTATCTTTCACACTGTGCCGGTGTCCAAGTAGGACAATAAATTTCGTGCCCCAGAACACAGACGCACATGGCTTAGACAAGACATCTCACCCACTCTTGAACTCACCAAGTCGAATAAATTCAATCATTTCTTTAGTTTTTTTTTCTTTTTCTTTTTTTATTACAGAGATTATCATAAAACCATTCCATGAATTTGCACTTTCTTTCAGCAACGAACTTTGAACATTCTCTATACAAAAAGTTCCCGATAGAATAAAAAATGATTTCTTATTTTATTTGTTTATATCCTTAGCTAATTCAACTTTTTAGTTCGTCAACGGACCATATCTTCTCAACTTCAAACGTCGACCCCAAACCTAACACAAAAATATAAACAATGTAGACAAAGAAATAATCACTGCATAGTGATTATAAGTTTCACTTCTCAAGCGATACTTTTCCAATTTTCGGTTTACATCTGGTCAAACTGAAAACTTAGATTATATTATCTGAAGTGTATTATGTATATGTATTATCGACTAAAGACATTAACGATTACAACAATCTGAATATATTTCAATTTACTCATAGTAAAGCGTACAAGTAATATAGGTGGTTTACTGTAAAGGATCATCATATCATCAGATCGATATATGCATAATCAATTTAATTAGGTGAAAATGTATTGAAAGTACATTAATTTCGGAATTTTCTTTTTTGATTAAACTGATGCAGATACAATATGGAATATTTAAAAACAATAGCGATAACATTAAAGATAAATACAAAAGTGATAGAAAGATGAATGAGCTTGGTAGGGTTATGTATCTAAATACACTGGGCGTTAAATATTGCAAAATTTTAATTTAAATCTAAGCGTTGTGGAATCGTCACTCACATCATAGCAGCAGAAATTAGCCTTGTGTTCACGGAGATAAAAGCATATTTCACAGGAAATAAAACTTACACAAACAACAGGAAAACATGGTAAAATGTATGTTAAATTCCTGCAATTTATTTATATTTTTTGTGTGTATTGGTGTGGGTATTTTTTAGATTAAGGTTGTTTTATGGTACATTTGATAAGAGGGGGGAATTCATTCCGTAGTATTAAAAAGCTATATCACAGAGAGAAGTCGGACACATGTTGCCTGTACCAAGGTTCGTGGCGAAGAGATTGAATTTAACGTCAGGCAGGAAAAGTTTTTGTTGCATGCTGGGAATATTTTTATTGTTTTGAATTCTTATTCGATTTATTTTATACAATTTTTTTATGTTATTGTTTTATTTATAATTTTCATTATTATTATTATTATTATTATTATTTTATATTTTATTTTTATTTATTTATAATAATAATAATAATAATAATAATAATAATAATAATTGGCCCTGACGAGTGATTTGGCGCGAGACTCTGGAGTCAGCTAATGAGATAAGTTCATTGAACGTTTATTGATTTACTGAATATTATCTATTGAGAACTTTTTGTCAGGAATTGCGCTGATTTAGAAAAATACCTTAAATTCTAGTAATCTTTACATATTTTTAATAGGTGTATATGAATTGTATCAGGTCATCCGATAAGTTCTGTCCGAATTTTAAATAAAGAAAACAAGTGACAAAATGTTACATTTAATTACAGATTCAATCAACAATGTATTTTCCTTGAATATCTATGACTTCCTTCCATCTATTAACAAGTTTACTAATTCCATTACTGTAAAATTCTTTTGGCTTTGATTCGAAGAACTCACAAGTGTCAGTTTTAACCTCTTCCTGTGTTACAAAAGCTGTTTCTTCCAAATAATTCTGTAAGCTACAAAACAAATGGTAGCCTGAAGGAGCAAGATCGGGAGAATAAGGTGGATGAGCAATTTTCTCCCAACCAAGTTCTTCGATCTTTTGTGACGTGATTCTTGCTGTGTGGGGTCCTGATGAAATATCACCTCTTTTCGATTCACTAGAGCGGGTCTTTTTTCCTCAAAGCTTGGTTCAAACGCTCTAATTGCTGACTATATATGAGCATTAATTGTTGCATTAGGTGGTAAGAATTCAAAGTGGATTATTCCTTGGCGATCCCACCAGATTGAAAGAACCCTTTGCCTATGAAGTTCCCTTCTCGGCTGTGGCTGGCGTCCTTCCTCTTTATCAAGCCACTGTCTACGACGCTTAACATTTCGATAAAAGATCCATTTTTCGTTGCTAGTCACAAGTCTATCCAAAAAAGGTGAAACAATTTGGCGAGAATGGAGAGAAGAGCAGATGTCAACTCGGGATTTGAGGTTGTTTTCAGACAATTCATGAGGCACCCATTTTCCAAGTTTAGGAACTTTTCCAAGTTGTTGAAGATGACGATGAACAGTTGTATGGTTTGAACTGAGAACCACTGCCAATTTCTCAACTGATAAAGCAGGATTTTCTTCAAGGGCTGCTTCAAGAAGATTTTCATCAAACTCAACTGGACATCCGGTTCGATCTTCAAGGGTGAAATCTCCACCTCTGAATTTTGCAAACCATTTTCTGCAAGTTCTTTCATTCACACATTCCTCTCCATAAACTGAGTGAATGTTTCTAGCTGCTTCGGCTGCTAAGTTTCCTTTCTTGAACTGATAAAGCATTATGTGCCTCAAATGATTCTTGAGTACTTCCATGTTAGCAGAGTTTAAATCAAACAAAATTTAATTTTATTGTTCTCTAAAATAAAATATGATCAGTTTAAATGCATCTAAACATAAAAAATAATGTTCAGCTCCATTAGACATTATAAAATTCTCTTTAAATTTCGTTCATTTTAACAAAAAGTTAAAATTCGGACAGAACTTATGGGATGACCTGATATTATATATATATATATATATATATATGAATGAATATAAATGAATGAATGAAAATTGATAATATATTGATTATCTATCTAAAAAGTTTCTTGCATGGAAAAAAACACGTTACATAAGATGTTTTCATTCATTTATTCTATATTAGTATGATATAATATATATATATATATATATATATATATATATATATATATATATAAACCTGATATATCTAGACCGATAGAGAGCGACCGAGAGAGTGTGTGAGAGAGAGGGGTAGTAAAAAATAGTTATGACCAGAGATAGATAGATAGATAGATAGATAGATAGATAGATAGATAGATAGATATTACTTATTTCTATGGATGCCATATTTAGTCGGTACACCTTCTTGCGTAAACATCCCGGTTTTTATTAAAATGTGAAATTAATATCCACCGGCCTAGAGATCGTGAGTCCTACTAAAGAAATTGTCGAACCATTATTCCCTTTTTCATTCAGGGGAACCATTTATCTACCATTAGTCCAGAGGAAGCCATCATAATAAAGCAGGGATCAATTATCCAACAAAGTGCAGATGTCTTGTTCAGACATTTCAAAGTTTATATTTTGTCGCCTTTATATTCATACTTGAAACTTAAACAAAATAATTTTTAGCAATTAATGTTTTTTTATTAATCCGATATTATTTAAACTGCATCCACCCACAAACCTCTGATAGAAGGTTTTGAGGAGCGTGGAATCTTCACTTAATTTCCGTTGTTCCCAGGTTCACCCACAAACGGGGTAGTAGCACCTGCTAGGGTCCCAGCTTTGGGCAAATAGGGAACCCCAAACAAAACACTATAAAAGTATAAAAATACATTTTTATAACAAAATGACCAACAATGAAAGTATAAAAATTCATTTTTATAGTAAAAATACCAGCAATACCGTTTTATATAAAAATGAATTAGCAATACATATTCATCGTAATATGACCAACAATACATTTTTAAAGCAAAATGACAAAAGATTCGTTTTATCTGTAAATAAAAGGCATAAAAGTCTCTTCTACTCCAATAGCTTCTTGTCACGCACTTCCCGTCTGTGGAACTCCCTTCCTCTTATTTGCTTCCCTGACAGTTATAGCCTTCAAATATTCAAATGTAATGCCAATCGACATCTTCTGATGCCCTGATCTAATTCACCAGAATTCACTTTTTATCCTTTCCTCAATCACGTCTCTTTACTCTTGCTCCCACCCTCTGTAACCCCTTGCGTGCTAGTGGCACTCCCACCTTGCTTTGCTTAAAAATAAATAAATAAAAAAAATACAACTACTTTCAAAATATATTTAGTCGGAGCCATAAAATTGTGTTCAAATTATTTAGATTTCGACATTAAATAACCCATAGAGGTTGATATGTCGCAAAACAAAATCAACCAACCTTAAATAGTAATATTTATAGCTATAAGTTATAATGCTGAATGAAAAATTTATTAATTGCATATATGTATGTGTATGTATTGTGTGTGTGTGTGTGTGTGTGTGTGTGTGTGTGTGTGTGTGTGTGTGTGTGTGTGTGTGTGTGTTAAATAGACGAGACAGTGGGTTTAATTACTCACAATATTGAAGCAACAAAATCAATAAAATAAGAAAAAAACGAGTGCTGGGTATGTGAACATATTCTAATTTTAAGTTAAAAGCACAATGGAATGGAGTTTCTAGAATCGAAGAATGAAAAGTTGAGAACAGTTTCCAGTGTGAAGAGTACAGATGAAAAGATTGCTGAATAGAAATGAAGATGTTTGCCTCAAGGCAAAATCGCGTGCAGGCAATTGGCGGAGATGACGTTTATGAAAAGGCAATGGCCGCAATTCGCTTTGGCGTCGATTGTGTCGGTAATCTCTCTTCTCGTTCATTAGGCGAAACATTTAAACATGGCTGCTCCTTGATGATTTTTAATGGCATGTCGACAGAGGTGTTTTGAATTGCAGAGAGTTAACAACGACTCCGCCGCGCAAAGAGCAGCGGTGTCTCTGCCTTTGCACGCTGTCTTGAGTAGGCTTTTGAGGTTAGGATTCGGCAGTTGAACATGTCGTCATTTAAGAGACTAACGGACGACAAGAGCCCTAACAAGGAAAACGACATTGATGACGACTTTCATCATAACACAAAGCTTCGTGATCCAAATTACATTTACATTTAAACTTTGTGAATCCATATAGCAGTCGACATTTACTAATTGTAACAATGTACATCACTAAATCCGATAAAACAGACCTTACCAAACGACGCCCATTTTCTCATAACAAGTATTTTATTTTCTACGAGCAAAGTAGCAGAAATTAAAAAAAAAATAGATTATTGACGTGCAAATTGGTACTTCTATGAACAGACAATCTGTGCATTTTGCACAGAAACCAAAATGTAGCTTTCGGAATTTCTACCGAGGATCGGAAATATCTGTGCGTTTTTCACACACACACACACACACACACACACACACACACATATATATATATATATATATATATATATATATATATATATATATATATATATATATATATATATATATATATATATATATATATATATATATATATATATATATATATATATATATATATATATATATATATATATATATATATATATATATATATATATATATATATATACATATATATATATATATATATATATATATATATATATATATATATATATATATATATATATATATATATATATAGTGCTTCTTTTTATGTCTACACAGTTTATATCTACATACGCTCTGTCTCCGATATGAAGCACTCAACCCGCCATGTCTAGAGCAAATTTTAAACTATATATATATATATATATATATATATATATATATATATATATATATTATAATAAAAATAAAAAAAAAAAGAAATCTTAAAACTCTCCATTGCCTCTCTAAATTCGACCATGTCTCTCACACTATTCCTCACCACCTTCTATGTCAACTTATATAAGCTTTAATACTGCCTGTCAAAAGTGTCAATTTTAAATTAATTTTTCGTTTCACCTTTGAAAGTGAAGTCTGAAGATCCAGAGAAAAATAAAATTTACTGGTGAAATAAATTATAACAGATGGAGCCTTAAAGTGCTCTGTTTTTCTTTTAAATTACATTTATACACACACACACACACACACACATATATATATATATATATATATATATATATATATATATATATGAGAATAATTAGGAAAGAAAAAAAAAAAAAACCATAGCCACCAATAAATTTATTTCGATGAATATAAACATATTCATTTCCCAGACAGACATATATACAAAGATAAAAAAAAAAATGTAAAAAAAAATGCAAGATAAAACAATAGCAAAAATAAAATTCGGGACGCTTACATTATGAAGAGAGAGAGCAGAAAAACATTTTATACGCAATTTTATTGCGTACAAATTATTTAGATTTCGGCATTAAATGACCCACAGAGATATTGATATATCGCTAAACAAAATTTACCAAATTAACGTTGCTGGACCTAAAATTATAGAAAATAAAATTTTTACTAATTTTTAAAATGATTTACTTCATGAATGTCTTTTTAAAAATCCTTTTTGCTACTTTTTGTTATCTCTCCTAATCCCTGTTCTGCCAACAATTTGCACAAGCTCATTAGGCAGGTTATACGCTGCTTTCCTCTTACCTTCAACATGTCCCGTGAGTGTCAAATTTTCCAAGCCTTCTTTTCTTATTATGTGCCCTAGAAATTTTTTTCAATTATCTCTTTCCGATGTTAAGTATAAGTATCCTTTCTTTTCATTTTCTCTAAAACTTCGTCGTTGCTCACATGTTCAGCCAATGGTATTCTTAGCATCCTTCTGTAGAACTACATTTCTATCACCTCAAGTTTCTTATTCATCTGTGGAAGATGATCCGGCATTCACTGCCATATAGGTGTATCGATATTGCATAACAGTTCAGTCCTCTTTTCTTTGATTCCAATGAAATCTTTCTGTGTCATGATACTTTGCTTAAATTTTGTAAGGCATCTTTCGCTATCTCAATGAGCCTTTGGATTTCGGTGTCGCATTTTTCTTCTGTTTAAACACTTCCTAAATATTTAAATTTTTTCATTTGTTTAATTTCAGTACAGTAGAATTCCTCAAATCCGGAATCCCTCATACCCGCAGTGCCTCATATCCGGAATCCCGCATATCTGGACATGATTTTGAGATGTATATATGAACTATTTGGGTGATATATAACCGATTTGAAATTTCTGTTTTTCAGGAAATTTACTTTGGATAATTGCTTATGCTTCTTTCACCTTAATGTCTTTTATTGGTGCAAAGGATGATGGGAATAAAAGGAAAGGATGGCAACGAGACACATCTGCAACAAGATGGCGACGTGATGCATGACTGTGATGAAACCTGGACTGAAATTGAAAAAGCTATTGAAAAGGTTGTCAATTTTATGTAAACAACGCCAGCTATGACGATTGCAATAACGTACGTAGAGTTAAAAAGTGCCTTTAGTTTAAAAAAATTCAAGAACTAAAGCAACATGAAATGCGGAAAAAGTTGAGAATGATATTAGAAGAGAAAGAATCATCATGCAACAGCGATTAAAAATCCTCGTTACATTATTTGTTTTGCATACGTGGCAGACTTAATTTAATGAATTTTCATTAACATTACATAATTTTTTTTTCTTTAAAATTAATTCCGTTATATTTCACACACCATTAGCTTATTTTGTTTACTATAAAACATTGAAAATAAATGTTAAACCTGATTTCAGTTCTTTTATTTTAATCTAAATTTTACCCCCTCATATCCGGACTTTGTAACAAATTCCTCATATCCGGAAGGCCTTCCTAATCCGGTTGTCAGGGATTCTACTGTATATTCAATTTGTAATTTGTGTGTTCGGCTGCTTCTTTTTTTGACACCCATAACTTTTGTCCTGTTGATGTTTAGTCCTTTAATTTCCTTTTCTTTTATTAAACTTCTGTAGGAATTTATGCAGATATCTTTCTGTCTTCTACCAACACTTCGTCATCTGCATATCTAATATTGTTAAGACTGTGGCCGCTAATATCGAATCCTGCTAACACTTTTTATTCTCTCAGGGTTGCTTCACTGTAAAGTAGGTATAGCTAAAGAAACGCGATACCTGAGATTTAAAATAAATTTTTTAAAAAATAAAAAATCTTTCTTGAAGCTTTTATTTTAGTTTTAATTTCAAGCTAATAAATTAAATATATTATTTACAATAAGCAAAATACTTTGCTGTATGTCAAAACTAATTTAAATTGACTGGAAGGTGTTTTCGCTTTTAAATCAATAACATCGCTGATTTTAGCGCCATTTTTTAGCGTTCT